GTTACACCTGCAAAACTTGGAATCAAACTTATATTTTATAACTTTAATCTTTGTTATTTATCATAAGTCAGTGCCCATTAAAAAACTTTCACTAGTGATCAAAGAGGTACTGTGAAATTTGAGATACTGTCCTCGTCATCCAAATCAAATTTCAGACTTTCTGTAGGTCCTTTTTTCTGTATGCTGAGCTTCAGATAATGTATATGTATATAGGACTCTAACTTTCAAGTTTTTTTCCAATTATTTTCAAGGGTTCCAGACTAACAGTATTGTTTCTCAGAGTAAGAAGTTAGTTTGCATGTATACCCATGGCTGATTCATGTCAATGTATGGCAAAAACCACTACAATATTATAAAGTAATTAGCCTCCAATTAAAATAAATAAATTGAGTAAAAAAATAATGATGTACTCAATAAATGCTTAATATATTTGCCTTTCAAAAAAATAAAAAGAAGTTCGTTTGGCCTTGACTTTCTAGGATAGTTTTTAATCATCTAGGTTACTGATTTATCAACTGGTATAAACTGCGTGTATGTGTGGTTAGGACTTTTCCGCATTCCATGGTAGAAATAACCTTTTCTTCTTTACTAGTAGTGACTTGCCCATTGAATATGTAAACACATGCATAAAGCCAAGGGTGCATTACTTGTTTTTCAATATTTTAAAAAACATTTTTGGGAAGTATAACATATATAAAATGAAATGACCAAATCCTAAGTAAACAATTTTCACATAATGAACACTAATATTCTGTATAAAGAACTGAAACATTACTTCCATCTAAGAGGTGCACATAACTTCCTCTTAAAAATATATTCTTTAAAATTAAGATATTTTCTCCTGGCTCTCAACACTGAAAATACTGGAAGCATTATTAATTTATTTTAAAGAATGAATATAAAATTGGTTCAGTTAATTTGTATTAGCAGGACTTAGCACAATAACTGATGAATAATGCTGCTTAATAATCACTCCTTAAATCTGTTGAATTTTTAGACTTAACATTGTTTAGGATTACTTTTTTTGATGTTCCCAAGTTACAAAGCAAGATTTAAAAATGTTTTCAGGAAATAGCTTCATCTGAAATTTTTATGAAGAGATGCTTAGCAAAATAAAGTAGCTTAAGATTTGGATTACTTAATTATTGCCTTGTAAAGCATTATTAATTTTCTATGGAAAGGAATGATGTTTTTTTTGTCATATCTAAATATCCTTCCAATTGCATTCCCCAGGTATTTTCTCTGATTTTTAAAATTATTAAAATTGACAGGCCATCCATTCTCTTCAAGTGTGCACTATTAGTAAAATTTTATATGTTCTGTCAACAATTTGATGTGATAAAGCAATGGTTTTTCTGCAGTTCACACAGCACTGGGGCTCTGCAAAGCATCTCTGGGGGTTCTTTGATGTCTAGACAGTTTAAATTATGCCTGCTCCCCTGCCTCCAAATTTCACCCCGTTCTGCTTCAGGGGTTGTGGGAAATGAAAACAAGCCAGAAGGGTTCCACAGCCCTACAGCCTAGGGAGGAAGACAAACAAATAGAAGAAGCTGTATATCTACCCTGGCAGGTGTATAAGGAAGGCCCGGTTACAGGGCACGGCAGAAAGAAAGGAAGTGGGGGCAAATAGTGTCCTGATTGTTTATTTCTGATTATATTCCCAATATGGAGCTGTCAATATATGAGCATTGTGGAGAAAATGAAAACATTATGGAAGTGTAGGGAAGAAAGTGGAATTTACCTTTTACTCCAGTCCTCCAGAGTTTACAGCCAAATCTAAGAGTTTGGTGTGTTTCTTGTATGCTGTCTTATTTATTGAAATAGTGAGATGTAGAATTGCATTTTAAGCTGGAAAACTAACTTTTTTTCCCTTTTTTCTTTTTTCTCTTTTTATAAATTGGGATATCGCAATTCTTCCAATTCATCCTTTTAGAAAGTAAGTAACTTTTGAAATTTTAGAGATTTTTGAATTAAAATGTTGATGTGTTATTATTTCATATACAATATACACAGACACATAGTCTATTCCAGGGTTTTTGCTTTTAGATTGTGACTTAGGCAATTAACTCACATTGTAAGCAAGTATTTTTTAATTTAGAAATAAGGAATATTACATAGAAGATGTCTATGCTCTCTAAGAATACAGACTTTTAACACATATTTGCCTCATCTTTTTTCATACCCACAATAAGACATTGTGTTTTTTTAATATATACAGATATATAAATATATATTTATATATTTCTTAAAGCTGGCCTAGGTATACTTGCTGAATCTATTTTTTTCTGAATATTAAAATAATAGAAATACATCAATGAGACTTTTATTTGTTCTTGTTCAATGGCAGTTACTTAGGACATTCCCTTTTTCAGGGAAAGCAGTCCATAATTTCTAGACTCTGTGGAAATGTTGAGGATGATAGCAATAAGTAAAGGGTATGAAAGATTTTTAAAATTCACTTTCCTATGTATATGCAGTGGGTGAAAGTTACTTCCCAGTAAGTACTTCATCTTTCAGTGCTAAAGTTTTGAAGTTTTTAAATGAATGGGCCATTTAATTTGATTTTTTTCTATGAAGAAATGCAATTGATATGTTTAAAACTAAGTGACTAATCAGCCTGAGTAGTAAAGTTTACATTTGATTGCAAAATATTTTTAATTCTTCTGAAATGCAAATGTATAGCTTTAAAATAAAGCAGATTTCCTGTTTGTTTTGGGGAAAATTACAGTAGTCTTTGAGACTTTTGGATATCTATGTCATGTGATTGTAAATTATATATTTTTAAAATATTTCCACAGTAAATCTTGAATTTATTGAGTTGTTAAACAATATAATTTAATAATATATTCATATTCAACAGAACTTATTATTTATATGAAACTGGGTATTATCACTTATATTTGAAGCAGGCATAGCATTAAACCGCTATTTATTAGTCAGTTTGTCTTCCATAATTATCTTTGGTTTACTGTACCTTAGAAAGAATATGTAAATTATAGTGATATTAAATTATGTTTGTTCAGTATCTTTTAGTTGTCTTTAAATCTGTATTCTCTAAAATGCTAAAGCTGAGTTCTTGAAATTGTGTGTATTAGGACCTTAGCAAAGAACAGGAAGAATGTGGGTGAGGTTTGAAAGGTGCACAATTAGTATTATTAAGTTTTATATTTTAAAACCAGCTACATTGTTTCATTTATATGTATAGGGTTCTATTTTACTTGTAGTGCTAGCATTTTCTTGCCAGGTCCCTACAGAAAAATCTGTGTTTCTGACAGTTTGGCCAAATTAAAGCTCCACAAATCTGGTATAATAATTCCCAGCTTCAAATTGTCTGTGCTTTTTCTGAAGAGAATAATGATAAAAATATATATTTTACAGTGTTCAGTGTAACATGTATAGCCTTGTTTATCTGAAATTTATTCATGGACAGCTATTTCTGGGAGATGAATGTATTTTACTTTATAAGGAAGGCTTGGCCCACTTTACATATGCGCAGAACATCTTTTGTGAGGAAAAATAATGAAATGAGGTCCGTAGGCTTGTAGAAGCTTCGAGAGGAAAGCTTATTACATAAACTCCCAGCGTTGTTTCCATGTGTACCTCGCTGTTCTGTGTTGTTCTATGACCAGGTTTATACTAGGGCTCATGCTTCCTGTCAGACCAGATGGAATCATACTGATGTGTTGGCATAGAGAAACTGTTTCCTAAAATAATAAAGTGTTCTTATTAGAATACTTATAAACCTTTATGACCATGATGTGTATATATGCTGACTGGCTATTAAGTGTGTTGTGGCAACTCAGCAAATTTGGCTTTTTTTCATTTTATTAATGAGTATTCGTAGTAAGTAAGAGATGGGACAGTCTTGGTTTTTAGAACACTTTTAGTTTAGTCACGTAAAAATATGTTTCTATCACAGAAATTCAAACTTTGAAACCTTGATATCCTAAAGGTTCTCTTGTCCAAGGATATCTTGGATTATATATCCAGAACCCTAACTAGGTGAATGAGATGGGGAGTAGAGTTTCTAATCTGTATTGATTCAAATACAGATCTTATAATACAGATCTTCAAATATTGATCTTATAGCATATTAGGAAGTAAAGTATATATGGAAACATAAGTAAATGCAAGTAACAGTTCTACCTCTAAATTCGGATATACAGAAATAACAGTTTACAAACAAAACACAAAAGAAGTTCTAAAGTTACCCCAGAAAATATATATGTATTGTACATTTCATAAACATCTTTTTAATTATATGAATACATTTCAATGATGTTTGTGCATATGTGTTTTGATATTTTAATCAATATTTAATACTGTTTAATTCCTTTAAAAAAAATCTGTTTTCATAGTTCAGTCACTTCTTTACTGCAGAACATCATCATTAGCTGGGTAGGATTCCCAAACACATATTTTCTTTATTTGACAAATAAAGAGCTAAGGAAAGAATGTCACTGAAGAAGCACAGATATAGATTTTTATCTGGCCTTGTGAGAAGTGCAATCCCATGAGTAACTTAAATACTTGTAATTTTAAATCAGTTCTTCCCTGGTTTCTTATTATTCTTTTGTTGCTTTTCAACCTATAGGATGGAGCTGTCCTTGAACTTGGTTTATTTGATCATTCAAGTGCAACCATCAAGTTGTCTGTAATATTTAAAACCTGAGGCTTCATGGTATTATTTGCAAAATAACACCACATAAATGTTTGGGCTTTGGTTTCTTTGAAATACAGTGTTGGTTGCTTTATGAATAAAAGCATAATTTCAATTCAGGAGACTTTTTGCCTGAAGCCTATAAGACAGATGCATCTGATTAACTTTGGCAAAACTGGACTGGCCTGTTATTGTAATGTAGATGTTTTCGGGGTTGGGAGGATATTTTAAAAAGGCATGCAAGAGGGTCTTTTTTTTTGTCCCTAAGAGACTGAGAACGGTTTTGCCCCAGAAACTGCATCTCAGACTGCTTCATTTTTTGCACACTTTTATTTTCTAGTGGAACTTCTCCATTAGCCTGTCTGAATGCAATGCTTCACACTAACACGCGAATCGGGGATGGAACATTCTTCAAAATCCCTGGGAAGTCAGGCCTCTATGCTCTCAAAGTAAGTTGGACTGTTCTGCATATTATGTCTGTTATTACTATGTATCATGCCTTTATTCAGACATGTGAAGGTAAACAAAATTAGATTTGGGTGAGGGGTAGAATGACCCCTTTGCCTTTTAAATGTTTTCAGATGTCTTAAAAATGATTTTGTATTAAGAATAAACAATGACATTTTTCTTTAAAGAAAGCATATCTGTGGTTTCACTCTAACATATAGTAATGGAAAATGGTTGTGGCTTCCTTGAAATTCTTGATTCTTAAAAATTTACATGGAGGAGTGCCATGGTTCATCAGCCAAAAGTTTTAAGATGATTACAGTGGCCAAAAAAAACTATTTGATTTTATGATTACACATTGATATACCAGCTTCACACCTGTATGTCTGTCTTTTGTAAAAATAAGAAATGTATCCATTCCTCTTGAAAATTTGCTGTTTTAAATGTTATTCAAATTTGAAAGAAACAGTGATCTCAAGGAAGTTTTTACTAATAAAAGCTTTTACTTGTATGAGAACAGAGAAATTAAAAGCTTCAGATAACAAAGTCTTAATGGTTTTAGTGTAATTTCTATTTACATCTGGAATGGAAATGCCACGAAAGATGCCAAATTCCAGAGGACAAAAGCTGATACAAATGGCTGCATAACTTAGAACATGCAAAATCAGTGTATTTTCTTATAAATTAAAAAAAGTATCAGCTTTAGTAAATGATGAGTTACGTTTAAAATTCATTAATTTCCTTTGAGAAGTTTCTTCTGTTTTATTTTTAATGTTAAAAGTTATACCTGGCAAAATTGGGGATTCTTTCTCAGCTCTTAAGCATCAGGCTCTTGTTCTATGTGTGTGTTTCAGAAAATAATACAAGTTAATCAAAAGACTTGTATTATTTATTATTTTTTGTAGCTACTTGGGGGTTAATTTATGATTACATCCAAGTTGTAAAGCCATTTTCCAAAATGAAGATGGTAGAATTGAGAACAGAAACAACATATGGCAAAAAGAAACTTAGTCTTTTGTGTAGATTTTAAAGGTTATCTCCCCCCAAAATTAACTATGGCAGTGTGCTTTTCCCAGTAACCCACCCCCCTCCAAGGAGTGGTTTTAAATTAAAAAATAAATCAGTATTGCAATTTAAAATCACAAGTAACTTTGATAATTCCTTAGGGCTCTGGAAGTATTTTGAGTGTTTTCCGTTGCTGATACATCTCCATAAATCATTATTTTTAAAATAATATAGAAAGAGGAGTCATCATGCTCAGCTGATGGAACTTTGGATTTAGGCTGTGAGTCTGAATTGGATGGCTCAGAGATGGCGGAGGCCAATGCCAGTGGGGAAGGAAATGGAGGTAAGTGTGGCAGATTTCAAGATAGAAATCCTGTTCTCTGAAAGGTTATGTAGAGTTCCAATAACTTGCTAATTGAATTCCCTACCATTATTGATACAATTTTAAGTTTTTGCCACAGTTTATCATTAAACAATTCTGATTCTAAAGGTTAGCACCTAAGAAAAGTATCCAGTTGTTTGCTTTTTGTTTTATTTTGCTCTTTAACAGTATGGATTGCCCTGCATAGTACTCTTGAGTGTTATCATTGTATTTCTTGTGCAAGGTGAGAGGCTTACTGAGGTTTGCTGTGGTTTAATCCTTATGTGAGGCTTGAGACGGCTGATGTTTGGTTTCTGATTGTGCTGATTTTTTCTGTGAACCCAAGTAATTTTATAAGAACTTTGTTCCTAGGTTTGTCTTTAATAAATTAAGCTTAATGTTAACATTCCTCACAGTGAAACAGGGACCAAATGAGTTATATTCTTATGAAATGCTTTTGAAAAGTGAACAACCCTTCTGGAATTCTAAGGGGGCATTTTCCACTTGAATTCTGTCCATGTGGATTCATTTTTAACTTTCTCAAGACATTTGCATTATGATCTGTTGGTGTATGTAATTTCTGTACTGCAGTTTTGGCAAACCTTTGCTCCACAAAAACTGCTGTTCTTTTCTATTTTTTTAACCTAATTCACTGGTCCCCCAAGTGGACCCAGATCGTGATTTGAGAGGAAGACTGTGTCATTAATGTCTGTGTTGGTGGACTCATAGAAATCAGTAAATTACCATTAAATAAACAAACCTTAAAGGATCCTTGCAGAAATATCGTATTTCAGTAATAGCCCAAAGCCATTCATTTTATTAATGGTCGTAGGAGTCCCTTTGTATTCTGACTAGCCACTCCTGCCCTTTAAACTGGTGTCTTTCTGATAGTCCCCTAGAGGCTGATTTTGCTCCAGAGCCATCTGACCTGTAGCCAAGGTGCTGAATTATTATAGGAAACACAGATTCTTGTCTTAGTAAAATGGCTGAAATCAGCTTTGTAGACTTTTTTTTTAAACCAACTTTCATTTAATTTCGTGTCTTTATTCCTCCTGTACCTTTTGAAAACTTAACTAAACCCCCCACCACTATTATGGTAGTGCTGTGAACTTTGGCAGGTCCTTGTGTATAGAAAGAGAACAGAGCAGAGATGCATGACAATTTCTGGATTTCTGGAAGGGCTAGTGAATGGGGCACACCCTTCTCCTTCAGTGGCTGAATGGGAATCTTATTGGGTTCTCTTGCTGTACTGCATGCTTGCATGAACACTTGCATCCTTCCTCTCTCTCCACCTCCTTTCGGTTAATGTACATCAACATATATATTGAGTTTCTGCTATGTGCCGAGTACTGTTCTCAACATTATAGTTGTTGCAGTTAAAAAGAAGAACAGAAAAAGACCTCTCTTGGATTTTATATTGGTAGAGAGAGAAACAATAAGCAAGATAAATATGTGAAATTTACAGCTTATTTAGTGCTGTCAAGTGTTATGGGGCAAAATCAATTAAATAAGGAGATAAGAACAAGAGAGAGGTACATCTGAGAAAAGACCCATGGGAGTGAGGGAGCAGGCATTTGATGGGAGAGAGTTCTAGACAGAAGAAGCAGCAATTATAAAGGCCTTAAAACAGGAGAGTGCCTGGAATGTTCCAGAAACATTAGGTCAGTATGGTTGGAGTCCAGAGTGAGCAAGGGAGAAGATGGTAAGATACAGTTTCAAAGAAGTTATGGAGTACCATGACACCAAACTTTGTTTTGAGTGAGATGTTAAGCCACTGCAGGGTTTTGAGCTAGAAGGGCAATGATCTCAGGCCTTAGTAGGATCACTAAGTACAAAAAAACCATATATAAGAGAACAAGGACAAAAAAGGGGAGACGAGTTAGAAAGCTATTGGTGTAATCTAGATAAGAGATGATGGAGTTCAAATAACAGGAGTAGCAATGAAAGTGATGAAAAGTAATTGAATTCTAGGGTAGACCCAATAGGAACTGCTGAAATTAGGGTAGTTATGAGATAAAGAAAGGAGTTGGAGATGACTTCAGAGTTTTGAGTGTCAGCAAGTAGAACTATTTAACTTAGATGAAATACCTGCAAGAGCGTTTGGGGTGGGGGATGGTGACAGAGGACCTCAATGTAGGACATATTAAACATGATATTAATTTTCTGCATCCAAGTGAATATGTGAAATAACTGGACTTATCTGTCTTATATTAATGGGGAAGACTTTGCTGGAAATATACACTTGAAAGTGGTCAGTTTATAGATGAGCTTTAAAGATAAGAAACTGGATGAAATCACCAAGAAATTGAAGGCAGATAGAAAAGAGGAGAGGCTCAAAGACTGAGCTTAGAGTACTTGAAATTTAAGAGGTTGGAGAGATTATAGGAACCAGCAAATGAGACAGAGGATAAGTGGACAGACAACTTATGTTGTCTGTTCTGAAAACAAAATGAAGAAAGTGGGTCTGGGGAGGATGTAACTCAAACATGTCAATTGCTCTCTCTGTGTCAACTTACAATGAAGGCCGAGGGAAAAACATTGGATTTAGTTTTGTGAGATTATTGACGATGACTGTTTTTATCATACAGTGAGACCACAAGCATCAATGGAGTGTGTTCAAGAGAATGGGAGAACAGAAATTGGGAGACCCCAAGTGCAGTCAGTTCTTTCAAGGTTTTTTGAGATAAAGGGAAGGAGTGAAATGGGGACATGGCTGTAAAAGAAAGTGGAAGAAAGGAAAATTTTCTGAATATGAGAGATAAATGTGAGAACAATCATGTACTGCTGGGAAGAAATGCAGTTGAAGAGGTTTCGATGAGGAACGTGTCCTGTTGCCATGTACTTGATTGGATGAGAGGGAAGGAGATCTGTGAAGCAGATGACGAGATTGGCACTCTTCAGGAGTATTGACTAGTGCTGTAAGGAAGCAATAGGAAAAATGAGGCTGCTGGATAGAAATGAAGGTAGGTGAGTATATGGGGAGGGGCTGCACAAGTTCACTTCTTAATGCTCCATTTTTCTCCGTGAAATAGGAAATCAGTTCTTCAGCCCCGGGTGAAGATGGAGAGGTAGCTCCGTAGATCTAAGGAGAAGATAGAAAATGTTTGTCTTGGGTCTGACGTCATTAAGGACAGTTCTGAGACTGCTGATCCTGAATTTAATGTGAGAACAGCCAGCATGCTTGTGCATTTTTCTCTGGTCGTATTGATGACCACTCTGTGGATGCAGAGTAGACACAATGTTGAAATGGACCAGAGCTGGGGTTTTGCCAGGAGTGAATGATGAGGCCAGGGAGGGACGCAGGAGTTGAGGGTGCATGGCATGGAGCATCAAGATCCATCTCTGTGGAATTTAAGCTGGTTGTGGGGGTTGAGCAAAGGCACATTTGTATGAGGAATGGCGTGAAGGCGGAGGTGCAGGTCTCCTTAGGGAGGAAGAATTGTTTGATTTGGTGTTCAAGAGGAAATGAGTTGGAAGGGTAGGTGATGTAAGAGTGGAATATGTGAAATTGAGGTTGTAGTTGTTGTTCAGTTGCTAAATCATGTCTAACTCTTTGCTACCCCACGGTAGCCTGCCAAGCTCCTCTGTCCATGGGATTTCCGAGGCAAGAATGCTGGAGTGGGTTGCCATTTCCTTCTCCAGGGGATCTTCCCAACTCAGGGATCGAATCCCCATCTCCTGCATTGGCAGGCAGACTCTTTACCACTGAGCCACCAGGGAAGCCCCTGAATTTGAGATTAGGGTGGATTATGGGAGGTGTGTCTGAGCTGAGAAGAGAGAGGGAGGGGAGGTTGAAGGCTGTTACGAATGGCTAGGTAGTGTGGGCCCTCTTCAGAGTGTCCTGGACGAGGTGATCATCAGTTACTGAAATTGAGCAGCCCTTCCTTTGCCCAACTTCCTGTCATGGAACAGGGTCAACATGGAGGAAATATGGCCTTTTCTTATCCGCACAAGGATGTTGTAAAGGCTGGTGGTAGCCCTGCCTTGAAATAGTAGAGAATCATCTGTGTGGATATTGAAACAGACAGTTATGATAGAACTAGCATTGAAAGGGTGTGATATTTAGGAGCTAAAATCTTCCAGAGATGAAAGGGAGTAACCCAGGAGTTGGTAGATAATTACAGTAAGGAGGAACGATCTGTTGACGGGAGATACAATGCTGGAGGCGTTTAAGGAGCAGGAAGGAGCATGGAGGTCACATGTCCCATTTTCAGGCCCGGCAATACAAGATGTGTGGGAAAGACACAGGCTGCTACCTGAGAAGGTTCCAGGGGAAGTAGTGTCCATGGGCAAGGGCCAGGTCAATCAGATTTTGCTGGTGACTAATCCCAACTTTCAGAAGAAAGAGTGGGAGGGTTTTAGTGGTTCTGAAGGGGTCCAGGGCAGGGTGAAAGCACTTAGGCAATAATTAAACCACAACAGGGATAAGCAAACTCCCCTAATTTGAAATGTGAATGAGTACTTCACCAGAGAGCGCATACCCACACATCTCCAGCTAATGGGACCAAAACTGGATTTCCTGGCCTCTCTTTTGAAGTTGTACTAATGAAATTGCTTTGAGAAATCACTGAAAGAATGGTAAATAGCTTATTTCCTTGAGTGTTCCTTGACTTGCCCACTTTTACATCTTATTGCAAACCACAATTGCTTCTTGTAGAACGAGTGTCTTCCCTATCTATATGAATACCATATACTTCTGTGTACAGTCCATTAACCCCAGGATAGATTTTCAAACCTCGATACTGAAAATATGTTGAGTGCTCACAACGCCTATCCTTTGTGAACTGTTTACATGTAGACTGATTAATGCTGACAGCACTCCTGTGAGAGTCAGACTTCCTAGGCTCTGTTGCTTTATTTTATTGAATTTTTCTATTTTTGATTTTTATTTTGTTTATTTATATTTTTAATTTTAATTTTTTTTTTTACCAGCAAGGAAACAGACTTAGAGGTTCAGTGTTTCATTCAGGTGGCATGCTCAG